CCTTCCAGAAAGGCCCACATGGCCTGTGAGTGGAGTCTGGGGGCTGGAAAGTAGAGATTAATATCAAATGGTATCTTTTCTTCCCTTCAGCTGGTAGGTTTTAGACAGGGGTAATAACTGTCTGGGTCACTATTAACCAAGTTGTAAAAGAGGATGACCTTCTGGAGGAGTACTAAGCATCTTATTCCTTACTCCCAGTCTAAAGAATGCAATGAATGTGGAGAAAATGGGTCAGGCCAATAAATAGTTCTAACAAACCATGGGCAGCTCGCCGTCGTGCCAAGGCCAGAAGCCTGTAAGAAAGATGCAGAGATTAGTTCCCTGGCTTTAGTCTATACAACGCAGAATGGCATAGCGGTGAATGCTAGCACATGGTCACTTTGTGAAGCAGATGAATTGCTCCTCAGAGGAGTACCAAGTAGAGTGAGGGAAGAGGACAGAAGTCTCCTCCCCTAATTCAGCTGAGAAAGGCACATTCTAATGGGGGGGGTTGACAAGGTCTTGGTCAGGGACAAAGACATCCCCCATTCTCACACCCACTTCTGAACAAAAGTCTGTCTGATCACTGAGCACCGACCGGTACATGGCCTCCTCCCACCCTACCTTTGCTCTGCCGCCTCTACTGTTCTTTCTCCCCCTTCACCTCCTCTCTTTCCTTTACACTTTCATTCTATTGTATTCTTGCTTGATTTCTGTACTGGAGAGCTTTATATCAACTTGACACAAGCTAAAGTCATCTAAGAGGAAGGGGATTTCAAGAAAAATGCTTCCATAAGATGGGGCTATAAGAAAGCCTGTAGGGTGTTTTCTTAATTAGTGATTGAGGTGAGCAGGCCCAGCCTATTGTAGGTGGGGTCATCTTTAGGCTGGTGGTCCTGGGTCCTATAAGAAAGCAGGCTGAGCAAGCCACGATGACCAAGCCAGTAAGCAGCACTTCTCCGTGGCCTCTGTATCAGCTCCTGCCTCCTGCCCTGCTTGATTTCCTATCCTGACTCCCTTCAATGATGATCAGTGATGTGGAAGTCGAAGCCAAATAAACTCTTTCCTCTCCAACTTGCTTTGGTCATGGTCTTTCATCAAAGCAATAGAATCCCTAACTAAAGCAAGTCCCATGACTTTTCTTTTGCACAATTATTTTTGAATGCTGAGTGTGTACTAGTGAGAAGGTAAACAAGATGTCTATAGCTTTTACTTTTAAGAAGTAAACACTGCAGTGAAATAATCTGCTAGCCAAGTAAATATTCAAGCAAACCAATGATTATAAGATGTGGTAAATGACACGAATTAGCCATACAAAAAAGAAAGGGAAGAATTGTGGGAGGCACTTAGCTATTTATTTGAGTATTTAATGTCTCTAAAGGAAGGTGTCTTTGGAAGGTAGCATTTCAGTGAAGTCCTGTAGAGGACTGGAGTGAGGAGGTGGAAAGGAGGGGAGAAAAGAAGACAAAAGTCTACCCCAAACTATTTACAGCATTGGCCCTTTGTGGTAGCAAGATTGGCAACCAAATCACTAGGCTGTCCCATTGGTTTCATTTATTCATGAGCATGTATATGCACACAAACACACACACCCCTGGTGGTGGCTTCCTAGTTCATAAGGATTTCAATGTCCTCCAGGGTTCAACAGTGCAAAGGCCCATGGAAATTGGTCTAGAAGTGAGAATAATACCAGGGCACAGTTACTCTTCCTGATATATTGGCTCAGCCGCCTAATTAATGAACAAGGCGTGAGCTAGGCAGATAGTGGGTCAGTGTGCTAACCCCTGTGCCAGCACCAAGCCTTTGATTCTTTAAGATCCACACAGTCAATGAGCTTCAGGTTAAATGTGCCCTACCCCAACTTATCTAGCCAAAGTTCTTTCATAGTTTTCTGTGTCTCTTAAAGCAGATGATCAAAGTCCCAGACAATGGAGAAATGAGGGATACATGTAATTTTAATTATCACTATAATGAATATTTAAAAGCATTATCTTTCTATTCATATTATAAATAAAGTTATCATTTAAGTAGATTTATTTCATTAAAACAACTTTCTTAGTAAATACTAAAGAGGTAATCATGTATGTAAATACAGGGAAAATGTGAGGACATAGAAATGGCATGGGCTTATAAAGCCCCCAAATTAGAGTTTGAGTAGCTTAAATTATGCTCATCTCCTCAAAAATTAATATGTGGAAGTCCTAACCCCAAGAACTTCCAAAAAAATGAGTGCAGTTTGTGATGAGTGTCTTTACTGAGGCATTCAAATTAAAATGAGGCCACCAGGACGGAATCTGGTCTAACTAGTGTCTTTATGAAACAGGCAAATTTATACACAGAGATAGATAGACATAGTGAGAATACATCGTGAAGACACCCAGGGAGAGAATAGCCATGTACTAGCTAAGGAGGCAAGGAACAGAATGTCCCCTTACATCCCCCAGAAGAAAGAAACCCTGCTAACCCATTGACCCCAAACTACCAGTCACTAGAGATGCTAGATAGTTAGGGCTAGAGAAATGGCTCAGCCATTAATTAAATGCTAGACTCACAACCGAAAATATAAGAGATGTTAGATAGTCACTCATATGGCTTAAGCCACCCAGTCGATGATACTACAGTAAAACAGCACTAGTGATTTCATACAGAATTTATCTTCATATACTTGAAGCCAGTTGGAAAATAGTAAAACACTCTTCATTATTCAAGCCACATATTGGAGATACAACTGTCATTGGGGTCCAAAGACCTAGGTTTATGATCTCATCGTATCTTACTCCATGGGGCTATGAACAGCCTCTAACTTGTGAAACCTCCCTAGAGATAAAGTTCCCCAGTCACCATTTGGTTCTTCCCTTCTCTCACTCTAAGACTCTGTTTAGAAAGCATTGTGTCCCCAAGGATTCTAAAATGTCAGTCATCTCCACAGCTGGATGGAGGGAGAATAAGGGCGGGACTCATGGGAGAATGAAGAGGTTGGGAGAGCTGTCTAGACAGACAGCCTCAATATTTAAACTTGTCTGTACATATGTGAATGATCCAAGAAGCTCCTGATACTACACTAGCCTGCAGACGGTCTCCTGTGGGGTGGCCACCAAAGACGTGGCAGCTGAGGGTACATGATGGTTGATGGACAAGGTTGTGCACCTGGAATCTAGATTCTAGATGATAGCTTCTTGCTTTGAAAGCAAATTTCCTCCTCGCTGGCAAAATATCAGGACTTAAAGTCTTCAGGGCCTTCTGTTTAGTCTGGATATAATAGAATGAGTAAGTTCTACTGTCAAAAAGTAAGTTCTTTTAACAGGAAAAAAAAAGTATCTCTTCCTTTTGTTCTTATAATGAAGACTCTCCTTCCTCCCTGGCCACTCCAACTTACTCTGACACATGAGTTTATCTCCTTGAAGGGGGTGGGGTGGGGTGTGGGTATCTGAGATAAGAATAAAGAAAGAATGTGAAAAGTTAGCCAAATGAAATCAAATTAAAAATTTTCATTCATATGAGAGATGGTGTATTATTCTGTCTTCTGGTCCTGTTTTGAAAGAAAGGATAGGCAAGACCTTAGTTTTGAATAATTCCTATCTACCCACACAGTGATGGTTCCTGAAGCAGCACAGACTAAAAGAAACTTTAGTGTTCTGAGAATGAAGACTATATCATTATTAATTTTTCACATATCCACACCAATATATTAATAACAATGTCAAAAACAACAACAACAAATATTTTCTGATACACCAGTTTAGGTATTGGGGGTCCACTAATTAACAATGCAACAGTAACCTATGCCTCTGCCAAGCTTATGGTGCATCAACCTCATGTTTGTGAATTTATGCTTGCTCTTACCCATTAACTACTTCCAGCCGCCCTGTGAAGGGGCTATGATGTTCCCTTCTTCGTAATCGGGAAAACTGCTAAGGTTTAGCTTGCCTGTGTCCATGTGTGACAGAGGTGGCTCAGTGTCCCTGGACATCAGTCCACCTACTATCTCTCCACTTTCCAAGAAGCACTACAGACACCTTCGACCAACTCCATATGTGATTGTTCCCGGGACCCAAGACAACATCCCTTGATAGTCTTAAATTTACTCACCACTTTGCCCTCAGAGCCTGAGATTAGGGATTAGCATTGTTATTTTAACTTCCCTTTGTGTCTTCAAAAGCAAAAGGGCAAAAATGTGGTTTCATTCCAGTCACCCACGTTCTGCCTCCTCTCCTCCGGTGCCAGTATCATTTCACTCCTGGTAACATCTTGATACTTGGCAGCATTTTTAAACTTGACATTGGGGTTGCTAATTATTATCCACCCATTTTTTCCTTTGGGGTTCTTAACCATTAATAATAGTAGCAGATTGAAATTATGGAATTGCAATTTCCACGATTGCCTTTATTAACCCTCAAATTGGAGCTGCTGGTATTCCATGTTTTTATACATACATACTGACTTTGAAGTCATAGCGGGCCTCCCACTGCTTCCTCTCTGCCATGGCCCATACTTAAACTTTCGGTGCCCTCTCTGGAGCTTGCACAGCTGGTGTTAGTCAGTCAGCTGTCTGGAGGGCTGCAGCCTGCTTTACCCTGGAGTGTCAGAAAGCTGAGGAGGATACTGACCCTTTAGATATACCCTTGCAGGCAGATTCCTAGCTGCCTTGGCATGCCTTCTGCATGAGAGCGGCAGTGGAGTGAGACTAGGGCTGCTTGTCGACCAGATGGGATGAGGTGAGAATAGTCGGAGCTCATTATCCACCACTAGGCCAGAGTCTCTCCACTCACTAAATCCAGAACATAGCCTTTCTGAAAATTCCCTGGGAGCGAGGTAGTGATTGCTTTAGTGGGTGAAAAGATCACAGAAGTGTTGGTAGTTCATTGAGCCTCAAAATAAAAGTGAAGTTATTTCTAGAAATTCACTATGGGAAAACAACTTAAAGAGAAGAAACAGCCTATGCACATGGAAGATATTTTAAGGGGAAAAATGAGAAACAAAATGACCAACTGAAGGGTGAAGTAAAGAGAAATAAACATTACCTTTAATAGTCAGAACTGACACACACCTTCTCCAGATACTAGAATGGACCGCTTTCTTTTGTAAATCGCCAAAAACCAAAGAAACATAAACCTAGAAGATGAGAAAGGAGAACTTCATAGACTCATTCACTAAAATCCAGAAACTGTACTAGGAACCCAGAAATCCTGGTTTCTCCTACAATAATTCTTTGTTTATCAGTTCCAGGTGGATGCAGGAGGCTGGCCCTGAGAGCATCCATACACCTACACCATCTCCTGCTTTCGGCTGGCTCTCAGTAGCATCATATAACAGCAGAGAAGTCTTTGTGAAAGAGCTTTGATCAAGTGGCCTTAGGCAGTACATGGCTTCTCCTATTCCCTATTCAATAGGCTCTGTCTGCTGACTGTCACCTTCCCAGCAGCCTTCTGTTCTGTACCAAGAGCCCTAAGGGTGAGGCTGAAAAATCAGAGTCATCTTAGTAGATACCCTGTCCTTCTGGACCAGAAGGGAACAGAGGGAAAGGCCTCATGAACTTTCTTCTCTCCTCTCTTTTTTGGGATGTTTTAATTTCAATGTTTGTTTATTTTACAAATATATGAGAACTATAGAGACAAGATGCATTCTCATTGTCTTAGAGGAATACATGGTGAAATTCGGGGGTCAAAAAGACCTAGAGGTAAACGCTAACTTGGTGACTGACTTATAACACAAAACGGTTTTCAGTAGTTTCCTGTTATTCAAGGGGGATCTATCCCAAGACCTCTTTGGATTCCTGAAATCACAAATAGTACCGAAAGACAGACATACAGACAGGTGCACACACACAGACATTGTTTTCCCGAACACACATATCTATGATAAATTTCAATTTATAAATTAGCATAGTAACAAATAAAAGAACTACATAAATGTCACCAAAATTACTTCCAAATGAGTTGGTTACTCAGCTTTTCCTCTCAGCGTTCTTATGCCACAGTTGAACAAAATGATGTCACTGTGGAACACAACCTCAGATACATGGTGACCTAGGAACCACAGAAGCTTCCTTGTTCATGTGGGAATGGAGATTGCAGACACAGTGTTAGATCGTGGGGTGAAAGCTTCATGAGTTCTCTGCTTATCAATCAATATTGTTGTCATAAATCTGTTGTTCTCCTTTCTTATTTTTGTTCAGAGATGCAAAGATATTTTCATATATTGATGATGTAACTTTGCTTTCTGTGTTTTCCCTCTAACACCCTACCACCGTGTGTTCCTCTGCTATTCATAAGGTAAGTGACATAAAAGGACTGAGATTCAACTCATTTGAACTTGAAAGATCAAGTCCATGTGATTGCATCTTAGTACTTGGCTCTCAGAGTCACCACACTAAGGTGTTCTTTTGAGTTGATCCACCATGATTTATATTTATGTAAGGACTCCTTAATGTTGGCCATTTCGTTTCTCATTTTTCCTTTCAAAAACCTTCATGTGTATAGGTTATTTCCTCTCTTTGTTTTCTTGCGGTGAATTTCTAGAAATAACTTCAAATTTAGTTTGAGGTCCACTGAACTAAGCTCATTTTTGCCCCATTTGTCACTTCTCTGTTCTGCTCCTCTGTAGGTCTAGCTGAGAATTAAGTCTGTTGACAGAACTGACTCAGAAACAATAAGAATTGCAGGGAAAGTGCCTGGTGCTTGTCGCAGTCTAGGCAGAGGGGCAAAGAACAAAGAGCTGGAATTCTTCTCTGAAGGTCTGGTAAGTCTCAGCAAGAAATTTAAAAAGGAAAAGACATTTCATTCCAGTAGAGCAGTCAAGGAAGTTGGGGAGGGGAGGAATTCACAAAAAGGTGAACCGTGAAAGTCACTTAAATGCCTACCAGTGGGAGAATGAATAAATAAAACACACTATGTTTCTTTGGCAGACTTTCATAAACAGTTGAAAGCGAAGTAAATCAATAAATTGCAATGTAAAAGATTTTCAGAAGACTTGATGAAAAAAATTACATTATAGAATGATGCAATTTATATAATTTTAAAACCACATTAAAATATTTTCTATTTTTCACAAATACTAACAAACACATCTATTTATGTATTCTTAAAATGAATTTTAATTAACATGTGAAAACGTAAATGTTGAATTAACACAAAAAACAGCTTTCTTTCTGATGCCTATCAAAAATATTTGAAATTTTTCATCAGTTATCTTGAGATATGTATTACAATCTTTATCTATAGTTTCAACCTATTCATTTAAGGTATATAAAATGAACAAGATAATTCACATTTACATTATGATTACCTTTCTCTTATAGAAGGTAGAAACAGAAGCAATTTGAATTTTCCTGTAATACTTTTCATTTAAAAAGAATAGGGGTGAAAATACGTTGAAAATTTAAGAAGAGTGAATTCTAGGAAGGAGATGCTTAAACGTTTTATTAATCTTTATTGTTTCCTGTATTTGTTAATTTTACCAAATCATTATCAGCAGCAGTGAAAGAACTTCTAAACATAGAAGGTACAGGTGACAGCTTTGATGGAAGGGGGGAGGGGATTCAGGTGATGGGCTGGAAGAAGAGGGATATGTAGCTGTGTGTTTGGGAGGGGAGGAGTATATAGCTATTGAAGATAAGATAGCCAATAGCTAATATTGTCACATGCTATCTGACTATAGAGGTTACTGTGTCATCATCAGCAGACCCTGCCTTTAGGACCAAAAGCTGCTGGTGATTTGTGCTCCTGGTGTCTTACTCCTGCATTGTCATTTGGAAATTGCTGAAAGTGCTTGTCTTGCTTCTCTATCCCAATCCAGAATAATCTAATTGGATATCAATGACCTTTGCTTTAGTTGAGACAGACAAAGGAAACAAAGGGTTCCGGAGTTTTCCAGGAGACTGACTGGGAGTGTTGAATTGATAGCACAGCTCAACTACTTTCTTCCTTGCCCAAGACTCATCCTTTATCCCCTTTCCCTCTTCTCCCACAGATACTGATCCCAAGAGAGGTAAGTTTCTGCAGAAAATCCTCGTAGTCTTAAGACAGCAGCAGCAACAACAGCAGCAAGAAACTCTCTGAGTAATAGCAACTGTTTTCCATGGAACTTGACCCACAACCTTTACCAACGCTGGAATACAAACTTTTATTATGTTCCCCCATTTGGATAGCTTAAGCAAGCCTTGTGTATTTACATTCCTGGTTTCCATCATCCCTAGTAATTAACCAGCTGTTATTGTGCTTGCAAGAAGAAAAATCAGATTCAGGTTCTGATCTTGAGGAACTAATGGCACAGACTGAAAACCAAGAATCAGAAAGGAAATAGCACAAAACACTCCTCTCCAAATGGTATTAAAATAAAAAAAATATACCTGAAAGAACAATATAAATACCCATCGAGTGGGCGTGTATAGTTTGTGAGCTCAAATGTATTAAATTATGGAAATAAACAAAGATGCCAGAAAGTTAGAAAAACTTTTTAAAAAGAATTAGAAAATTGGCAAAGAACCAGAAAACTCACCGATAAATATTTCACAGACACTGTGAATTAGAAAGATGAAGGGAGAATGACAGAGCCAATTACATATTGGAAGTTGAATTGACTCAGTGGGAGCTTAGCTAGAAGAATAATAGAAAGCCAGAAGGAAGGTATGCTGGGTCACATAACCAGGAGTACTTGAGTCACATTTCGAAACATGTTACACACCAGGACTAAGAATAATGGTTTTACAGTGAGGGCAACAGTTTCAGAACAGTGAACCTAAAGGGACAAGATAGAGACAAGGCAACCACAGTTCTAAAATAGGGCTGATTTAGTGGAGGGTGTGTAGGATTTCCTAGAGGGGATGGACCCCACCAACAGCCTACAACTTGCACATAGGTCCACCATGAAGCTAAGGCATGCTGTGATGGCAAGACAGCTACCTGTACTGACCACTGAAAATGAGTCCACATGTCCATTGTAGCCCAAGTCCCAATAATTCACCATTCCTGATCTTGATGCTGACCTCTCACACCCCCAATAGTCACCTGGTCCTCCTTTCACTTCCCTGCTTGTTCCGTAGGGTGGTCAGGGTGAATCACGTCTCCTGCGTGAAATCTTGTTTGTCTCCTTCAGGCCCCAGTGATCTCTCTCCTCTTGGAAACCCTAGTCCTTCTAGCCAAACTATTTAATCCTGTGTTTGAGGTAAGTTAGTGCTGGCTTACAAGGTATTGTTGAGGTCCATGAAAATTACATATAACCAGGGCTGTTTCTGTTATTTTCCCCTCCAGATGAGTAGAGTTAAACACAGACTCTCTTTGCTTCTGCAACTCTTTACCCCCTCACAGCAATCATAGTGGGTCATTCTCATCATTATCTCCATTTCACAAATAGTCAAAGCACCCAGCCAGGCAAGTATACTTCTGAACCCACTCATTTTGCCCTAATCCAGTCAGATACTGGAAGAAAGCTGCTAATAGGTGCTTGAGTGGTTGAAGAAGGAACAAGGTAATGGCATGTCTTCATCTTGTACACAGTGAGAGTTTAGGTCCTTGGGTCTTCTCTGAACTCTTAGGTGGGTAGAAACTTCATTCTTCTGGTAGAGAAGCCAGTGTGCTATAAAGGCTGCTGCTGACCTCCAAAGTCCTGCCTACTGCTCAAAAAATGAAGAGATTATGAAACTCTCCTTCAGAAGAATTCCCGGAACTGTAGCAATTTCTGCAGTGTGACTTTTGTTGACAGAGGGCTGTATTTAAAAATAAGGAACTAAACAACCGATGGCTCTTTTTAAAGCATTGTTTTTTTTCTAAACCTGTAGCTTCAAGCATTCATAAACGTCTCCAGACCCTGGAGGGCTTGGGATTCCTCTGGGGCTCAGTTAGCTTCAAATACCGGCAGCTGTACAGTCAGGCTGTTTATCTGAAACACTCATCATTGTTTCCCACTCTCTTCTTTCTTATCGGAAGTCAAGGAAGTCAAAAGCAACATGTAAGTAAGATAGTGGCTAGAAGAGTTATCACCCGTTGCCAGGTGAAGAATCATAGCTGAGTTGGGTTAACTTGATGGCCTCTCTGTTGAAACGCAGAACCTCTTATCTTTGCTCCCACTTCTCCCGTCTAGACACTTGACAATGATTTGCAGGAAATTAAGGCACTTACCCCTGCTGAGAAGCCAAAGTTAAAACATTCCTAAACATAATTTTACCCTGTGTGTATTTAATGGGAGTCAATGTTAATTCAGCAGGAAAAGAGAAATGGTTTTTCCTGTCTCTGTCTCTGTCTCTCTGCCTCTGTCTGCCCCCCCAGTGTGTGTGTGTGTGTGTGTGTGTGTGTGTGAGAGAGAGAGAGAGAGAGAGAGAGAGAGAGAGAGAGAGAGAGAGAGAGTAATAGATTGCAATTAGCCCACTCTCCTTCAAACTTAGCTGTGTGATTTTTCAGTCTGGTCTTTCCAGGCTAGTGAGCTTGTTAGATTATTTAAGACACAAAATAAAGGCCTTCCCCCCCCTCCCTGACAAAAGGAAATGGGCGGAGCTAAGGCTTGCACATTCAACCTCTTTTGTTTTCTTTTGATTTTCTTTTCCTCACAAAGTTAGAAAATAATTTTATTCTCTCAATACACGATAGAAGAATTGCCTAAAGTGAAACACTGGCTTTTGTTGAGAAAATGTTCTGATATATTCAAGTGAAGGTTCTGGGCTTAGCATTATCATCTGGTCTCCAGGTTGTGAAAGGATAAAAGAAACACTTTTCTGATAAACAAGAGAGAGGGGGATTTGAGGTCCTCCTTTCTTAGAGGCAGAGAGAAGGGATGAGTGGACCCTGCTGGGGAGTGAATTTTGTGGCTAAAAGCCATGACTGCCAAAGCTGCCAGCTCTAGGAAAACAATTTAGAGAGAATGCAAAAGGTAAAGGATTACCATCAGCAGCCTTTCTCTGATTCCCCTTCACTCCCCTCCCTTCCCCTGTGAAACGTTTGAAATGCTGGAGGGAAACTGGAGGTCAGTCACATAACCACACTAAGGGCAAAAATGCGTTCACAGAGGCTAAAAGCAAAGTATAGGAAGAAAGCTTGCTCGAGTTATACTGTAGGACTATCTAAATTATTTTATCTATGTATTTTTTTTCACAATGGGCCCATTTGTTCCCGGAATGGAGGGGAGTGAGATAGGATGGTGAAATCTCCAGCCTGGGTAAGTGGCTTTGTTGGCAAAGAACTGTCACACATCATGAGGAGCTGAGGTTGGATTCCCATGTAAAAGCCAGGTGAGTCTATAACCTTAGTGCTGGGGGGAGGTGGGTTAATCATGGGAGCTCAAAAGCCTGCCAGTCCATCCAGCCAGTGAGGTGCAGGCTCTGAGACCTCATCTCAAACCATAAGGTAGAGAAAGCAATATAGGAGACACTCCAGTATCAACCTCTGGCTGCCATGTACATGTGAGCACACATACACACATGCCCAAACATGTGCTCATACATAAACTATTCCCCCCATATGCAATTTTTTTTTACATTTGGCTTTTACAAACATCATTTTTCATTGTGCCACATGTTTTAGAAGGAAAAAGGGAAGAAAACGCAAGCCATTTGTTAAATGTATATGAATCATTTTGTGTACAGTTCTTTCTTGTACAAATTGCTGTAGGGTGAGAATTCATTATCTGAGATGCTTGTGTTGAGAATTAGTTGGAATTTAAGGTATTTTTCTAATGTGGAAATATTTTCATGTATATATTGAGATGTCTTTGGAATGGGCTCCAAGTGTAGACATGAAATTCATTTATGGTTTAATTACAATTTACACTCTTGGGCTGAAGGTAATTTTAGATAGTATTTTAATAATCTTGTGTCTTTTGCTAGTGTAAAATGTTAATTGTGGAAGACAGTGAGTTTTACCATGACATCTTCATATGTGCCTCTATGGTACTTTGGTCATATTTACTCCCCTGTCACCCACACTTTATTCTTTACTTCTGCTGGTTCATTTTTCACTCCATAATTGTTATCCAGTGCTTTTGTTCTTATCTTTTGGTCTACATACAAGACTGAACATGAAATACTTACCTTTCTGAGTCAACATGATGACTTCCAGCTCTATTCATTCTCCTTCAAATGACATGAGTTACTTGTTACATGAGGCCAAGCATGGGTGTTTACCATGTGCAGCATCACACCTGTATACAGGAAATTTGAAGCCTATCCAATCCAGAGTTTCACATCAGGATACAGCTTTCAGTTCAGCCTATAATTTTCTGGAGCTGCCACAAGTAAATACTTCAAAGCGTGTGGCTCAAACAACAGAGGTGTATTTTCTCATAGCACTGGAGTCTTGAATTCTAAGATCACTTAATGCCTCTCTCCTTAGTTTGTAGGTAGTTATGTTCTACTTCCTTCTGTGATCTTTTTTAATCTGTTTTTTGTTTTGTTTCTCACTGTGGCATAGTCTCTGTTTATAAGGACATCATCAGTCCTGGACCAGGGCTTACCTGCACATCCTTCTAAGGTCCTACATCCAAATGCAGGGACATTCTGAAACACTAGAAGTTAAGGCAAGCATAACAATGGGAGGTGAGTGTGGTGGGTTCAGCCCAGGTCACTTAGGCATTTATAGTATGGGAAGTTTTTGCACATATTTACACATATGTAAGCACACACACTCCACATCTGAAGACACATATGTTTTAGATACTGCCCAGAAGACACACTTACCCCATGAAGCTTGAACATGTTCCACCATGGATAGAGGAGACGTGGCTATGATATGCTGCAAATTCTACTCAATACAGCATCATGCAGCCCTCCAGGAGTATTTTATCAATTAGAGTTCTATAAACAGTCACACTGGGGCTTCTTTCTCCACATCCATAAACTCTAGGTCATATTGTTTTAAGTAACACTCACCATTCTTGTGAAACACAGACCTTGAATTTGTCTCCTACAAGACCTTCTTTCTTGCTTGCCTCAGCTCTGACCCATCTTTCCCTGGTGCATCCACCAGTGCTGGGCAGCACTTATTTCAGTGCATATCAATGAAAATAGCAAGCCATTCACATCTCCAGCCTGATGGCTCGCTTTCTGAGAACTTATCAGCCTTGACCTTGTCTAGCAATATTCCATTTATGGTCACGAAGTAAGTCTGGGACAGTTTGATAGATTCTCTATTGATCACAAGCATGATCTTGGAGACTGTGTATAAGCAATAGTGATATTTTCTATTCCACTCTAGTGATTAGTTTGAACACGAAATCTTAGAGACTTCTTGCTCAGTGGCTTCTGGGAAGGAAAAGGGCAAAAGACATAGCGGTTGTTGTTTGGTTGGCACTTGATAGTTGGCATTGATATGACAATGAATACTGAAAGAACAGACTACATGGATACTTTTGAAACATTTAGAATAATTTGGA